GAAAGCTGGGCTGCCACTTGCCAGCGCTGCCCTAACGCTGCTGTGTTCTTCCTAGATCCCATCGTGAAAGACCAGGCTCGGATGGGCTCGTCCAACATGCCAGGTGGCAGCACTCCCGTCAGCAGTGCCAGCATGATGTCAGGTCAGTGCTGCCTTTGGGTCAGTGCCCGCATTTTAAAGCGTTTGTAATAACTGTGTGGATGTTGGGGTGCAGGAGAGTGAATTCTGCAGTGGGGGCACTAGGTCATCTCCTGGGGCTTGGTAACAAGTGCAAGGAGAGGGTGGTAAATAGCCCCTTTGCAGCTCTGCGTTTTTTTCAGTCTTTCTTTAAAGGAAAATTGCTTTGCAGTGGGATGTTTTGGAAGCAGTTTGGAGGACATTGGCCCCCTCACACAGGGCCACATCTGTCCTTAGGAGACGCTTGTGTGTATTCAACTTTAAGCTCTTCTCAGGATCTTTAGAAAACAGTAAAATATCTTTAATTTCAGTTTAGTTTTTGGAAGCTGTGGAATAAAACAAAATGCCCCCAAACTGCACTGCAGAGATAACAGTTCATTTAAGAAGTTTTGCTGTCGTGGATAGGGTTGCACTGGTGTTCCTCTAACCCCTGTTTAATGGTCTGTGTTTCAGGGATCTCTTCAGTGCCAACACCTTCCCCCCTCGGACCCCTAGCAGGCTCTCCCGTCATTTCTGCCACCACCACGCTGGGGATGCCGGTTCCAGCTGCCGCAGGAGCTCAGCAGTAGTGATGGGTTCTGTCTCCTGCTGCCTGGGCCGAGTCGGGTGGGGAAGAGGCTTCCCCTCCACCTCTGCTCAGGCCGCAGCTCGTGCCTGGCAGGGAAGGGAGGGGATGGAGCTTCGGAGGCACCGTGTCTGAACTGTTGCTTGTGGATTTATAGTAGTTCAGTCATTATATACAAAATTATTATAGGCTGATTTTTCTTTTTTTACTTGAACTTTTCGTAACTCAGGGGATTCCCTGAAAATACCTACAGATGGAATATTTCTCGGACAGTTTTTTTTCCCCCCTCCAAAAAACAATACTCTTCATTTAAGAACAAAGATGAACCAACAGCATTTCCAAGCTATTGCATCCTGCTGGAAATCTCTTCTCTTCATGCTCCCACCATTACTCCTCCACCAGCCTACACCTCCGGGGATCGTGCTGTTCTCCAGAGACTACCAAACCAAGTCTTCATGAGGCAGGGGTGGGGGATTCTTAATGTTACTGGTCACTTTAACCCTGTATCCTGCATATGACTCAGCTGGGGTACACTGAGGAGACAATTCCAGTATGGAGAGGTGGTAATAAACTTAAAAGAAGTGCAGATAATGTCTAAAACCCTATTTTGATCGAATCATGTCTCGTTAGGAGCCAACCAGAATGCCAACTCACTCCCTTGCATGTAATTTTAGTCTTAAAGCATAAAGTTATTGATCCAATTGAAGTCCTTGCCATTTCCTGGAAGAGGTGCTCCTGTCGAGGAAGCCGTACTCTAACCAGCACCTTTCTCATGGAGGGTTCTTCCTGCCATTGCTTGGCTTGGATCTCTGGAATTAGTTTGTTATTGGGTATTTGTTTTTAAATTGTTCATATAGGTTTCAAGCTGGTGGCTACTTTAAAGCTGGAAAGATCAGACTGCGCCAGGTCAGATAGCACATCTTCACCCACCATCCCCTCCCTCACGTGCCATGTGGTGAGAATACCAGTTACCTCACAGTCCTGTAAATACGCACTGAGAGGAAGGAGCGAGCAGACTTTAACTTAAACCGAAATGGTAGATCAGTAATTGTGGACAAATATTATCATTGACAACAAAAAAGCACCCTTGTTACAGCCCTGCTACCCCTTGCTGTGTATATATACCTTGTCCTTCATATGTGAAAGATCCAGTGTTGGAATTCTTTGGTGTAAATAAACATTTGGTTTTATTTATCGAGGTTAGATTTAAGTTCCCTGTGTAGAGGTCTCGCGGGGCTGGTGTTGCACACGTGGACGCAGGGACGACCAGCCTCCCCGCGCGTCCTGGGGAGCCGCTTCCCTCCTCCCTGCACCTCACACCATCCATAGTGAGCAGTGCAGAGAAGCCCTGGAGAAACCATCACCAGCCTAAGTAGCTCCTGGGCTAAGGACTTTTGTGATAAAAACAAGTAAAACCCCCCCACCCTCCTCTTCTGCCTTAGCCCTGAGGGGATGTGGCTGCTGAAACAACTCTGGGGTATTATTTTGTGCAGTGCTGTCCTTTGCAGTCAACGCAGTTTTGTTTGCTCTAGGAAAAAGCTTCTAGCCCAAGGGCACCCATCGGTGACCTCCAGCCCCGGTGCCATTCCCACAGGGGCCTGTTCCCAGCCTGGAATCTTCTCCCAGTTCCTGCAGGGAGTCCTGGAGCATCAGCATCCTGCTCGCCTTGTGAGCACCCGTCACTTGTTTGTTCTTTTGGGTGCTATAACCATGTGTTTCCTCAATAATTCCGCAAGGAGGGAGAGTAGCGGGTAGGCTGGGTTAAATAAACCTCCTCGAGGGCTGACCCCTCATCCCTGCGGGTCCCTGGCGCAGGAACTGAGGTTTCAGTGTGCCCGTGCTTGCGCTCTGCTCCGTGACTTGCTCCAACCCTGCGGTTGAGCTTTGGCATCCCGGGATGATGTGAAGTTGGCGCTTGTTGCCCGCCTCCTTGACGGTGCCTTAAGGCACCGCGCGTGACAAAAAGCAACTCGCGGCTGTGTGCGCTACATTGTGAGCTACGTGGGACGCTGAACCGAGGCTTCGTTTTTGTTGTGGTCATTATAATTGGTGGTGGTAGTTGGTGGGAAGGCGGTGTGCGCCAGCTCGGCGCCCCCTCCTCACTCGGGGAACACGGAGCTGCTGAAGCTGCTCCAAAGGGGGTGCGCGAAGCCCGGCCCGCGCCCCGCAGCGCCGACACTGCCGGGCAGGGAGCACCGGGGCATTTTTTTTCCTCCTTTTTTCTTTTATTTTCTTTTATTTCCTCAATATACTCCGCCTCCACCCGCA